GTAAGGGTCGCCTGCTAGAGTTGCATTTGCGTATTCGTTTGGATCAAAGTCTGGTGATGCAAAGACGGAGTAGTCTGTGGACATAGTCGAGTAGGCCACGCGCCATTGAACCCAGCCTGAGCAGGAAGATAGCAGACCACGTGACCACTAATAAAATTGAAAGTGTGACTCCTCCTCTCCAACCTTCGCCCACTCCAGTCCACCGATGTCCTCCCTGCTCCTCTTCCGTGCGCGTCCCCTGTCGCGCGCCCTACCCACCCGTCTCTTCTCCACCTCCCCCCGCATCTTCGATCCTCCAAATGTGCCCCCCCGTCCCCCAAAGCCAATCGACGACTCAACCTCCGCCCTCGACTACAAGCGCTCACACCGCGCACGGCCCCCGCCTCTTCCTACCATGGACCTTCCCAGGGCCAGGACTGCAGAAGAGGCCGTCACAAATATACTGTACAACACCCCGCCCCCTAGTTTGCAGCCGTATAAGAAGTATGTTTCCATGTCTCATGTTTCTCATCCATAACATGCACGGCTGCTGATGGAAATGTCTAGGCACACTCTCAACTGTCTCGTGCAGAATGAACCGGGAGTCTTATCCCGCGTATCTGGTATCTTAGCTGGCAGAGGGTTTAACATCGACTCCCTCGTCGTCTGCCGCACCGAGATTCGTGACCTCAGTCGCATGTGTATCGTACTCAGCGGCCAAGACGGCGTCGTCGAACAAGCCCGAAGACAACTCGAGGATCTCGTACGTGTCTCCCCTACCTCCATATCTATATATCATGACATTGATTTTTGCGTTATTGGTTCCGCTTCGCTTTTTTAGGTCCCGGTATGGGCCGTCTTGGATTATACAGAAACGCGCTGCATAACGCGTGAACTCCTGCTCGTGAAAGTATCAATCCTAGGCCCCGAATACCTCGAAGACCAATTCCACGGCGGGCCTACGCACGAACCTCGCAGAAGAGAAAGTCACGCCACCCACCACCAAGAACAACACCACGACCCAACAAAATTAGAACGCGAGACAGCGCTAGCTCAGAACTTTGAGCATTCCGCCGACGCTTCGCCCACCCCGCCTCCTCACCCCGACCGCCCAGTCCCAGCTACCCACCACAACCACCAACATGCCATAACACCCTCCGATGCACTCCGTCTTAGACACCAACACCTGCAATCTATATCCGTCCTCGCGTCCCAGTTTGGCGCCAAGCTGGTGGACCTTAGCGAGAACAGCGTGATTGTCGAGATGTGCGGCAAGACCAGTAGGGTGGAGGCGTTTTTGGCCTTGGTTAAGCCTTTTGGGGTGTTGGAGAGTGCTAGGACTGGTATGTTTATTCTATTTTCTCTTGTATGTATGTAATGCTGACGGGGACTTTTTTATAAAATAGGTGTCATGGCTATGCCCAGGACGCCAATTACCAGCTCTATCGAGGATGATGGTATTGCTGCTGACGAAGGCGGACCCGTGGACGCCAGTCTTTTGCCCCCAGGCTGAAAACCGTACCTCACCCTACTACACACACTTTCAAAAATTTCAGGACGCAATTGACCAGGCTCAACTGATACCCTCCAAAAAAAAAATCTGTATCATAGCCCCTTGTCTTTCGATATCTTCTATATAATAAAAAAGTACGACAACAAAAATTTACAAGGATGGGGGGGTGCGTTTAGCCCCGGTTATTATTGAGTGTAATAAGTGAAGGGTTGATAAGAAGCACAAGATGGTAAGATATAAAAAAACTGTCGTAGAACTACAACATCGAGATTTGGTGGAATAAAAAAACACACGGTATATCATACCAAGTACTCACTACTTGTACTTGGGAAAAATGGGGGGTGGGATCCAATAACACAACAAACAGAAAACGACCAAAACGGGAACCAGAAAAGCACAAATGCATGGTACATACATACACAAGTATATGTATACAAGGCCAGATGGAGGGAGAGGGGTGGGTTTGTTCGTTCACTCTCGCCGATGCGTTCATGACCGGTCGGGGGAAGGGGGGAAAGTGGGGGGGAGGGCCATAGCACCAATCGAATATGGTATAACGGATAGATAGTTAGTTAATTAGCGTGTAATAAATAATTGCGCGTGCATGTGCTGTATGGATGCTGATGATGTATATTTCGTTCATGTCCGTGTAGGCTGTTGCTTGTGCGATTCGAGGGCTGAGGTAATTTTGTCAACCCAGGTGGAGGCGAGTGAGGCGTCGGGGGCTGCGTATGTTTGGGACTTGCCGGTCTGTTGAAGCAGGAAGATGGATTAGAAATTGAACTCGAAGCAGCGAGGAAAGAGAGAGAAATCGTACCGTCAAAACCACGAACTCCCTATCAGTCTTAGCTTCCACACCAATAATAAAAGTCCGCGAATCTTTGTCCTTCTCCTTCCCATTGGCATTAACAGGACGAAACGCAAGTTCGCACTTGATCGACAACACCCCACGGTCCCGCTGCTTGACGCAGATGAGACGTTGGCTGGTAAGCATCAATTGTCGAATCTTGGGCTTCAGAGGGGAAACGGTGATAGGGATCAGCCGACTCGCGCGCCGTCGCATGGCTCGTGCTTCGACGCGTGAGGCGAAGAGGTTCAGCTCGTTGTGTGATAATAGCGATGACCTGGAGGCGCACAAAGATATAAGATAAATTCTAATGGCAGGAAGATATTTTTTTGAACAAGAAGGACTGAACTTACCAATCTATTTCGGGTATTATATGCTCATTACCTTGAACGGGCGTCTGCGCTCTATTCCTCCCCCGATCAATCCTGATCGCCTCTAACGCCGCTCCCAACTTCTCGACAGGGCTCCCCTCCGACGAACTCGTAGAAGATCCCGTGTCCACCGGTACATCAATCGGCGCAGGCTCCCCCGTAGTAATGGATACCTCCCTCTCAGGCGATCCGTGCCCTATGACGGTCTCCGCATCCTCATCCACAAGATTTGCCATCCTCCGAGAGACATCTGAGAAGGTTGGCAATTCGCCCATAGGACCTACGTCCTCCACATATATATGAGTGCTCGGCTCTCCCTGACCGTACCCGTGTCTTATCATATACGCCGGCCCATCAGCATCATCTGCCCACTTGATCCCATCTCCATGCCCATCCTCGCCCTCTTCGCAATCCGCGATATCGTCCCACGCAGCACCAACGTCATCCCAGTTCTGATCATGCCCCACTAACGGATGCTCTCGCTTAACCAGCCCGGACTCGAGTGGCGGTGCGGGCTCTGTCCACAATGTTTTCCAATTGATGGATAAGAAGGGATGGTTCCGCAGGGCTTGCATCGATATGTCACTTCCAGGAGGTCCAGCTCCTAGTCGTTCCATAGGGTCACGTACCTATTCATTTTAATTCAGTATAACAGCCATTCACCATGAGATGATACATACGATCAGTCTCTGTACGAGATCCTTGGCCTCCGAATCAAAACCTTCCGGAAAGGAGTAATCCAGTTGCTTTATCTTCTGCCATGTGAGATACTCTGATAACCCCGTGAAAGTGAACCGGCCGGCAATCATTTGGTAGATGATACATCCGAGCGCCCAGAGATCAGAGCTGGATCAAAAGTCAGCCATGATCAAAAGGATTGAAATATGTGCAGTGACCGACCTCCTGCTCGTCTCATTGGCTTCTAATAGTTCAGGTGAGACATACTGAGATGTCCCCACAAATGTCTTGGCCGTTTCCACTACAACATCAATAATTAACTTGGTTCGATCACAGCATTGGGATGATTTCAACGTACCTCCAGGGCCAAGAAGCTTACCAGTCCCAAAATCAGTTATTTTGATCCGAAAATCATCATCAAGAAGTAAATTCTCAGGCTTCAGATCACTGGAACGAACGTAAGAGATGATATTACTCCACAACACGGATAAGATATGGCTCACCGGTGGATGACACCCTTCGAATGCATATAATCCAGTGCATCCACGATTTGTGCAGCGTAGTATCGAGTGCATTCTGTAGATAAGGAGCCTAAACGCGTTATCCGTGACTGCATCTCTCCGTTCCTAGCCAGATCGAGCACGAAAACTAGCACGAAAGTACATCAGAATCAAGGAAGAGGTTAAATAGATGCTAATGCACTCACATAAACTCCATTCATCTTGGAATGTAGAGTGCAGTCGTACAATTCCGGGATGGCCAGAACCCAGTCTGACTAGTGTGTTCTTTTCCGCTAGAGCTGTTTCCATCTTATTGTATCGCTTCAGATGGCCCTTATCAAGGATCTTGATAGCATATTCCTGCCCCGTTGCAATATGTGTAGCGCGTTTCACCTATTTACATACGGGATCAACATACTAGTTGGCGATATGATGTATGTACTGACGTACAGTTGAATATGAACCTTCGCCGAGTTCCTCGCCAAACTCATAATCCTGGGCACTGACGCGGCCATTCACTGAGCGATTGCGTGATTGTGAGCGTGCCCCCACCGCACCTCGCTTGACATCAGTTGTGGACGAGGCAGTTGGGTGATCGTCCCGACGACCAAGGCCTCCAGTGAGATAAGTGGGAGGTCTCGAGGTATTGCGAGAGGCAGCCTGAGGACTCCTTGTTCGAGGAGATGAGAAATTGCGAGCAGGTCGAGGGCGAGGAGTGTTCAGTATGAGGGAGGACGTGGAGTCTGAACTGGAGGACGAAGATATGACCGAGGCATTCCTGCTGAGATCAGCCAAAGACGGAGGAAAAGAAAGCTCTGGCGGTGCTCGGGAGACCTCAACACGAATCATGCAGTGAGATGGAGATGGAATGAGGGACGAGGAAACAGTGTGGGGGAGCTGTGCATAATCCCATTACGAAGTTCCCAATCCATTCGTCCTTCCCACACTCCCTCGGATCTTCTTTCCGACTCATTTTCACTAATAAACTTATTTGCAGCGATAGAATTGTGGCTGGCTTCCAGTCTACCAACGCTTACCAACGGGAGCACCCCAGAGTTTCCTATATACCCGAGGTCATCACATCTTGTAGCCTTGGTGCCAGAACCCATTTCAGCAGCATGGCGCAGAGGCAGCGCGCGGGGCTCATAACCCCGAGGTCACTGGATCGAGACCAGTTGCTGCTATAAATTGGGTTACCAGCCTTTTTTGTTGGTCAGTGCCACTGAGATTCAGCCTCCCACTGGTTGAAATCCTCGACGGCACATCTTTTGACTATTCATAATACTGGACATATCAAATCAATATTATTATTATTTTAAGCCACTTTCCAAATGTATTGCTTATGCCGTAAACTTTCGGATTCAATCTCGGAGGCCCTACTTCATACTTCTGCACCATCCACACGCACCAGCCCTTCTCAGTCCATCATGTCGGGAGCAGCATCCTCAGCAGCAACCTCCCGGCTCTCATCCTTCATGAACCACCCCGCAGGTTCGCTCTCACCTTGCTCCCCCCAAAAAAACTACGCCTTTTCAATTGTCACTAACTCGTTTATGACTCGTTTCGTTTTCTACAGGCCCCAAAACGGTGTTCTTCTGGGCTCCGATGATGAAATGGTGTCTTGTTGCAGCTGGTGTAAAAGATCTCAAACGCTCTCCCGAGAAATTGAGTGTATCGCAGAACGTTGGTACGTTAGACGCCTCGATAATTTGTCAGCGGGGGACTGATTGTCTTTTTGTTCTCATCATTGAATCGATCTTACCTCATATGCGATGGACGTTTTGATTTGACAGCTCTTGCTGCGACGGGTTTTATTTGGGTCAGATATTCCCTAGTCATCACGCCCGTGAACTACAGTCTGGCGGCGGTAAGTTTATACCACCTTTCCATATCTTTAATCCGATTCTGACAACCCTCGTACCATAGGTGAACTTCTTCGTCGGCACGACTGGTCTGACTCAACTAGGTCGTATCGCAAAGTACGTTTCATGCTATGTTCACACTTCGACCTTGCTAACCACTATCTGAAGCTATCGACGAAACAACCCCGAACCTGCAAAACCCGCCACAGCGTGAGGGATGGCCAAATCTCCAGCGCTGTAGAAATCATCGGTCGTCAACCTGTTTGGAATTCGCTTGCCGATATATAATACACTTTATCGTCTATTACCCAACACCATGAATGAAATGAGCTAAATACGTTTCCTACCGCTACAAATAAATCATGCATCGTATCGTACACTCAAATCCACCAACGCTTGATATTATCTGACACCCGTCCCCTTCGCCTTTGCTTTCCTCGTTGATGGCTGTTTCTTCCCCGCTTCAGTACCACCACCAGCACGTCCCACGTTCTGGAACCCATCCATTGCACTCCGAGCAGCATCTAACCACCCGCCTCTCTCCGCGGCCCCAACGATGCTTTCGATGATACCCTGAACCACCCCATCCCCTCCTTCTGTCCGTTCATTGTTTCTCGCATTGCGATTGGTATTTGTAGTACGTTGATTCCGCGTCTGGCGTTGTTGCTGCTGCTGCTTTTGAAATGGCTCCCATGCATTTGGTCGGGTGCGTGATTGTGATTGTGGTTGAGTGCGTGAACGTGAACGAGCTCTTGAACCACCAGCAGCATTTTGCCCTTGACCATTTATCGCATCCAATATGAGCCCACCTAAGAAAGACATCATCCCTGCTCCGCCCGCGCGCCCGACTCCACCCCCACCTCCACCTCCGCCCGCCTGAGTAGCAACCCACCCAGCCCCAGCAACTAGCGCCCCTAAAATAGTCCCCCACTTCATCACCCACACTCCCGTCTGGAACATCCAGCTCGTAGTCCTATACAAGCTCACAAGCGCCAAATACGCCGCCAGAAAAGTTATTAGGGGAGGGATGACGGTTTGAGCATCCCACTCCCATGGTCTGGATGATATGAGGGTGTAGCATAGTGAGATGAGGGCTGTGAAAAGAGCTAGGGAGTGGGAGAGGAGAGTCAGGAGGAATGAGTACAGGGGCGGGGGAAGAACTGAGGATAAATATGAGAGGATTGGGTCTAGGATGGCTGGGAGAGGAATTATGGATGGGTCAATGTCTGCCATTCGGGATGATGCTCAGTCGCCCTGATGAACAACTTGAATAAGCAGTGTGTTCACTGTCGGTCAACGTTGCGGACGATACTGGGATGGACAAATCGGGAAACGTGTCACCACGCGACTCGATCACTTTATGTTCCGTTTATTTGCAGACAATCACACAGATTATTGCGAATTCAAAGTGTGTCTGCACGCATAAATATACAATATGCATACGGGGAGCATCTGGGGTTGGTCTATATATACAGCACAGCGGAAAACAAGGACCATGAGAGCAACGGAATAGTGGAATGACTGGAAGCGATGACCAAAAACTGGATGAGATCGTTTAATGAAGGATGGGAGTGGCTTTTGTGTTCGGGCGAATGCGATACGGGTTGAATTATTGGATGGACAACGGATGAAGAGTTCGTTTGGCAGCGTGGGTAAAATCGACGTCGATGTGTGGGAAATGGCGGCTTGTATAAAGTTGTCGCGGAATTGACTTTTGGCTGTTGGTATTATGTCGGAAGCTGTCGGTCGATAGGGCGTCGAACCAGCGATGTCGAGGGCAGCATGGAAGGTCAAGAGAAAATATAAATACGGGCAAAACAGAAAGAAAAGTCATAGAAAGATTCCAAGTCGGGACATAGGTCAGTCTGGCGGGTTGACGTTGTCAGGTCGGGATATCCAGTCGGGATTGGCGGCGAACTCGGATGCTGATGTCGATTTCTCATTTTCTGTTGTTGCATGATGGAATGCGTTAGTCGGAGTCGACCATGGAGATGGATCCGCAGTCCTCGCAGAATGACCACATCGTTCTGCGACCATTGGGACCAGCGGCACAGGCAATACGAAGTTTAGGGATTTGGGCGCAGTGCGTTCTGTCGATATCAATCCAATATAATCAATGCGACAATGATTGAGGGAGATTGTAGTGGTCAGCGTGGTTGGAGAAAACGCCTGTCGGTTGTAGGTCAGCGACTTACCCGTGATGAGTGAAAGAATTGCCGGGCTGCAGGAGGCCGATATTTTTAGGAGCAACGGCTTCATTGTCGATTATTTGTAAGGGGTAAAGGTCAAAAGTTGGATAATTGACTGAGCAACGAAGTCTGAGCACACATAGAAGAATCGCAAAGAGAACATAAGCGCACCGTCAATTGAATCGGATGAAGCAGAAGAAGCGCTAGAGGAAGTGCTAGCGTTCGAGGAGAGGCGAGTGTGATATGCATCGCTAGTAGTGGTGACAGGGTCAAACTCAGACGACGCGTCAGACATGGCGACGTCGTTGTCAGGCTCATAATTAGGGAATGGTATACATTTGAGCTGTTTCGCGGTCTATGCGAGCCCGTGTATCAATTTCGATGAAATTGACGCGCAGGAAAGGAGGAAACATACGGGGGCAGACGACCCGTCGAGCTCAAATTCGCATTTCCTCTTCATGGCCGTTGTGAAGGGTCGGCGGGATAGTAAAGAGATGTAAGGGACGAAGGATGAGACGTTGGTGAGAAGCCGAAGAGATTCGGACAGTGGAATCTCTGGAAAAGGAGCAAAAGCGTATAGCGACTGAAGTTATACAGCCCGCTTGTTTATCTATGTTGAACAATAGTCGCGGGGTCTGAATCGGCCTTGATGTGAGATCGGATTACTCGATTTAGGCTCCAGGCCGATTCAGTGAGCTGATGGCTGGATGCCGATTGGACGACATATCGAGAACCCCATTTCTGGCCGGCGACGTCGGGATGTAACGCCAATCAGAATACCGGTTTCCATTTCGGGTGACGAGTCTTATATTCCACATAGAAATGTGGCAAACCATCAAGACTGCCCCCATGAGAAATTATCGCAGTGCTGGCATTGATATACTCAACCGGAAATTTTCGGTGATAAGAAGAACCGTGTTTGAATCAGAGTGGCAATTCGGGGAAGATGTTCAGAAGTTCTGCGAGGGTTCGCACTTTGTATGTTTCGGGCTTTTCCGACAGTGATTCGCCACAGTCTCACCCCAGAATGATATACTTCCATTACATTCCACTTATGCTACATAAATAAATAACTTTTAGCATGGAATAGAGAAGCAATTGACCAATTTTAGGCAATCAGCTCAGTACATATTGTCACAACATCTGATGGTAATATAATAACATGGAGACAACTTAGAAATGGCACCTAAACCGGAGTCTGAGTGCAATCGCAACTACTGCTGTCCTTATCTTTGCAAAGGCAAGACCACCTAATAAATAAACGCGCAAAGTACCATTCTCGCCTGCGGTGGGTTCTACACGCCAAGACGATGTAGTTTGCTTGGTTCTATCCATTTCAAACCGCATTAGTTGATCGCGCTACGCCCGTTGCGGCATTCAGAAGCGTATAACACCACGCCGACGTCTCCGCAGAGTAAGTTGAAAGACAAAAAGTGAGCAAAGACTCACAGCAGGGACCAGCGAATTGGCTAGCGCTCGTTTCGCCCATATACCAAGTCATGCTTGTTACTATACGATCGGTGTAATAATCATCTACATAAAACGTTTCTTCCTCTGCTGAAATGTTGTCCGCAACAGTAGTAATATGCGTGTCAATCGCGCTTTCAAGTTCTGCGAGATTGTTCGCCTTAGAGTACTGACGCCGGCGACAAGTCCCGAGACAACTGGAGCATTGGTATCTCTAATGCTAAAAATGAAGAGACCACGAAAAGGGGACTTCGACGTCGATCAGAACAAAGCTGAACTATCCCTTCTGCGTTGTGAGACATACAAAAATGTAAGAGACACGTGGAGTACAGCCCGAAACCACACTCACCCCAACAACGGAGTAAAATTTGAGTCGTTTTGGTTAAGGGCCTGCGTAAACTGAGATGACGCAAAGAAAATAACGGTGTAAAAACACCAGATAGAATGATATATAGAGGGCACCAGAAGCCACAGAGGGGCCAATGGAATGAAGGCACTTGAAAGACTCGTACTGGGGTCGCAGAGTTCAGGTTGACCGGAGTAAATCACACAAGGCGAATTGTGAGCAGGTACACGGGGATTCCAACGCCGCTACAGCGACGACCTCGGCGTGGGTTACGCCGAACCAGATATTCAAAAACCAGATTCGAAGACAAGCGATAAACG